GTGCAAAAGCATTAATAAAGATAATCCCTAACATCCAAATCATACAAATCCTTAACTTTTGCATACCCTGAGAATGATTGAAAGAACTTTGTATGCCTTCTTTTGTATCAATCCTTCATTATCCTGAAGTCAGGAAGCCCATAGTTAGTAACTTAGGCAGTATTTCCTTTTACCAAGCATTTCTAGATGCCCTTAAAAACAAAGTAAATAACCAGATGGAGGAGAAAGATTTCCAAACCTGCAATGCAGTCTTTATTGCACTAAATAAAACATCAACCTCTTTAGCATCCAAACCAGGTAAAAGTGAGACTGCCAAGTCAAATAGTTGTGCCCTGCAGTTAAGATGGAAGAGAATTAATGTCAGGTCAGACATCCTGAGAGAGAGAAGTGATAACTCTACTGTGAAAATGAAGAACTAAACATCATAGACAAAAAAAAAATAAAAAATGATGTACCGCATGGTATTAGAATCTCTAGAGCTTTCTGCTTTCCTAGCCTCTTCAGTAACCTTCAAAAGCTTCACCAATGTACTTCTAAAATACCTTGAGACAACTTCTTTATCTGATATTGAAGCAAACTCACCAATTGTGGACTGTACAGGTGGAAACATAATTATTCTCATCTTCACAAAACACTATTCATGAAAAAGTAATCAACGAATTTCGCATTGAAAGTACAAACATGTATCTAACCAAAAATGTATTCCTAAGTAGAAAATTGAACCCAATATGAAAATGTACAAGTTCATTAGGGGAAGCAGAGGGGACAGAGGTGCAAATGTATCCAAAAGATCAAGGGGAAGTCAAAAGAAAGAAAGAAAAATAAGACTGAAAAGGGTGATATTGTAAAAAAGGGATGCAGCTTATAAAGTGAGCCAATTCCATTTTGTTCTTGTGCCTTTATTGCTGAATTATGTTCTTTGAATGTTCACTACGATGTATCTAACACATTTAGGTAAAAAGTGCCTCTCTCTCTTACAAAAAATGTGTCATGGTTTTAACGAGGATAGGCATGGTTTGTAGGGAAACTGCATTTGTTACACCAGTAGGATAAGTGTACTGTACAAAAATCAATGCGGATTTGACATTCTTGTCATGTATTTTGCAGAACAAATAAACAAAACACATGTAACCTCAGTATGCTTAAGTACCTGCAAACAGCCTGCATCATCTTTTGTGGTATTCAAGAAAACACCTGATAGAACAGGTAGTAACTTGCGTGCAGATGACTTGAGTACGCTCATGTTACCTTCTGTAACTTCAGGGGTATAATTGGCCATAGCTCTATGTCTGGCGCTACCTAATTCACTATCAGACAGATCATTCACTTCCACAATTTTCTTATTTTGTTGAACAAGAATCTGCAAGCTCAAGCATATTATCCCACGAATCTCAGGTTCATCCTGAAGGGCACTGCATAAGGCTTGCTCTAGATCCTTGAAACTTTCAGCAGTATCAGAAGCATAGTTGCAAAAGGAAGGTAACAGTGACCACAAAGCGTGTACAAGTGCATCTGAACTCCTTGATGAAACAATACGTCCTTGTGACTCCAGCTGCAAATTATAGCACATAACTAAAAAATTCCATCTGGAATAAACAACTAGCATTCCATCAGTATGATTTGTTCAATACCTTTTTAGATTTCTCCTTTATCATTCCAACCATACCCAAAATTGACTCCGTAAAGAAGCTCAAACGTGCACCAATTGTATACTGCTTCAGTATCGGAAAGAGCCAAACATTCACCTGACTTAGGTCTTCAGCCTCCAAATTAAGAGGTAGAAGACCTAAAAATGTTTCAGGTCCCATTGCAACAAGAGCCGATCCAAAGCATTCATGCAACTATATATTAATAAAGTCCTTATATTAGTAAATGTCACACTGAGTTAGAAAAAATGAACTGAGTTTGACTTGCAACCTAAAAAACTTGTAAATGATGATAGTGGACATGGTAAAATTAATATGTTAAACACTGAATAATATAGAAAAGACCTGTTTCCTGAAAGGGAAATCTTCATCAGGTAACTTCTCCATTTCCTCCAAGCTCTTCATTGCACCCCTCATGAAATAAGAAGAGTATACCCCTGCATGATAACAGCTGTTATACCTCTGATATCAAATGGAGATAATAAGTGCATGGTAACAGAAAAATAAATCAGTTAAAAACAAGAGGAAACAGTCAGATGCATCAAATTTTAAAAGTAATACCAAGTTTATCAAACATTGCTGAGACAACTTGAAATGCAAGGTCCCAGACACCTGCGTAGTGATAACCAAGTAAGCTTTCAATAGTAGCACACACTTTTTCAATTATAGTTGGCCCAGACTTCCTTGCATCATTTTTTGCATTCATTACAATCTGGTCAACTCCCTGTTTGACCAAGCTTTCATCAATGCAAGCACGAATGAGACCCTTAAATGTGTCCGCTGCTGCATGTATAGCCTCTTCATGCTCAGATGCCAACACATCTGCCAAAATCAAAGAAACACAACGGAACTTTTTGAGTTCTGCTTTCTAGAATGGAACAGATAAAAAGAGACTTAGAAGAAGATTTCTTTAACTAATAAGAAGGTAAAATGTACGCAACTAAAGTCAGTGGACGACAAAACACTACATACCTTCGAGTGCAATGAAAACGAGAGGGAGTTTAACTACACATATTTGCCTGTTAAGGGAATAAACTTTCGCCATTCCAGTACCAAGCAAGCGAGCTGTAAATGTCATGCCATCCACAGATGTCTCATTCGTAGAGACAGAAAGAGCTAATGAGCATAATAGATCGAGCAATACTTCAAGAGAAACATCTGTCGATGGATTGAGACAAAGTATATTCAAACTGTCTGTTATACGCTTTGTAACAAGTGGTTGGCGCAGTTCCAGAAGAGTTTTGTAGTACTTGAGGACATCGGTTTTGTACTTGATTGACATAAGAAACAGACACTCTTTCAGAGCATCCAAAACATACAAGACCTCTTGGGCTCCCTTGGGTCCTTCACTCGCATCTGCCTTTGACCCACCGGCAAGCAGAAGAAACCTTTCAAATAAGTTAGTTATCCCTTCACTTGCGGGGGCAAGGAGCGGTGTTCCTTGAAAACTTTGCAGCACATCGCTAAGGCACAAATGTGATTGTCTTCTCACCTGTTTCCGAATCCAATTACAATACATTCCAGTACATGGAACAGAATCAAAATCTGAATCAATTATATCAATCGACATTACCAAAATATGCAACAATTGTACCAAAACGTCATTTAATAAACCTCAAATTCATCGAATTTATATAGTAAATGACCGAAGCAATCTGAATTCTATCATAAACAATCAACAATAACGATAAGAACTCAATGGCAAATAAAATGTGAGAAACTCACCTTCGGGCGAGAATCCGTAACGAAACTCAATAGGAATCCATACAATTGAGAGACATCAGACCAGTTGACGCGGCCTCTGACAATGAGCAAATGCGATATACATTTCAATCCCGAGAAGGCGGCACCCGCCGTCAACGACGGCGACCGAAGAACACGGACCAAGAGCTCCGATAAGAACTCGCTCTTCTTCACGAGAATCCCCACCGATACTTTCTGAAAGACAATGGAGAGAATCGTGAGGAGGGCGTCGATCACGTGACCGGGTGGGTCTGGCTGGGAGGCGAGGCCGTCGAGGGACGAGCACGTGAAGCCGAGGTATGCGACGGGAGTCGAAGGGAGGTTCTTGTCTTTGAGCTCCTGGGCCATGGCGCCGACGGCGGCACAGAGGTGGTGGTGGTCTTCGCGCGTGGAGCTGCTGAAGCGCGTGAAGATTGAGGCGCAGATGTCGTCATCGTCGCTTAGAGGGAGGGAGTGGACGTCGTCCACTTCGATGCCTTCCATGTTTGGGCTGGAGTTTTGGGGAGTTGCAGAAAAACCCTAGCTTCGATGGTTCTTCTGTTTTTTTGCCCACCTCTCAGTACCGGCTAGGGTTTTAGGGAGACAGTTGAGGGCGAAGAAGGTGACCGTTAAGTTGCGGATTCACGGGTCGAGGTTTTAGTTAAGCCTTTGGGAACCGGGTGGCCCAGTTGTGGCGGGTTCGGATGGGTCACTGAGTTCGTAAGCGCGCGACCGACACTCGTTACATCTTTGGACTCAACGGGCCCGTCACCAAAAGATGATTTATATTCCTTCTGGGCCGGTTCGGAAGTATTGACCCGAATTTAACTCTATAGTATTCTCCCCAATTTTATAGTCAAGGACTCAAGCGAGGAGAGAAGAGGTTACAATTATTTATCGTCACGTGGAGAGAAAGATAGAAAAATGATGACAATAATACTGATACATGAAGGTAATGCTTCTAAAATTTAGTTGGTAAAATTAGGATAGTGCTATCCACAAACTCCCTTTTATTTCTCACACACATTTGTTAATTTTTATTCATTGATCTTTTTCAATTCGTTCAATTCAACGGTCGAAAATTGATATGTGTGTGAAAAGTAAAAATGTGTGGATAGCGTGAAATTATTTATGAATTATGACCCCCCGCACAATTTTCACAATTTTTGGACATACGGTGTTGAGGAATGAGGGTGGTTGATTGATGGAACAAAACATAGTTTTAGGTAAATGGAGGTAAAATGTGGGGTATTTACGGGGTTCACAAGACAAACTCTCTAATAAGTTGATATTTTTCGTACGGGTTGTCTTATGCAACAAGTCTCTAACATGTTGTCACATGGGACAGTCACACAAATTTTCGTGAATCATAGGATACTCTAATCACGATCATAAAAACAGTCATACAAATTTTCGTGGATCATAGGATTTTCTAATCACGATCATAAAAAATATCTTATCCATCAGAGCAATCTACTGTTTATCGCAAATAATTATTTCAAAATAAAGTAAGATCTTGATAAGTAAAATATCCAGAACTTTTAGAGTAATTCAAACCCAGACAACAATATTATAAACTGATTATATATATATATATATATATATATATATATATATATATATATGTGTGTGTAGCATCATTACTATACTCGTTAATATCATACGTACAACTTGAAGTAAAACAGTACGATACCAATTGCGGCATGGACTGACACTGATACCCATAATGACAGAATTACAGCCGTCCATCATCAGATCATCATCAAGGTCCAGATCTGGGCCATCTGCTGCTCTTGTCGAGGCGATTGATCAGGTACAGCGCGTTGCTCGTAACCCTAGCCGAATTCGTAATCTTCCGCTTCACATCCACGGCCTTGGCCTTCACATTCGCCTCCTGAATCCCATCGAGACACGTCTCGTCATCCGTGAGGGCGGCGCTCAGCCACGTCTGGGCATTGCTCATCTGGAATCGAAACGTCTCCTTCCGGAGGTGGTGCAGCTCGGCGAGCGTCTCGCTCAGCTCGTCCACCGACGTCGACATCAGGTCCACGCAGTCGCCGATCGCCGAGAGCTGCAGCTTCGTCCCCTTGAAGGAGGCGGAGAGCTGGGCGAGGAAGCCGGAGACGCGGAGTGAGCGGGCGAGGCTAACGTTCACAGCGGCCTGGGCGAGGTCGCGGGGGGTCTTGGCGGGGCCGGCGTAGTTGGATAGAGTGCGGAGGCAGATTTTGGGGTAAGTGGCGTGGCGACATGATGAACGGACGATATTTGATGCTGGGTGGTGTTTCCCTGCGGCGGAGGCGGAGTACAGCGAGCAGAAGAGGAGGACGAGGAGAGGGAGAAGAGAGAGTAGGAAACGCATCGAGGAGGTGAGTAGAGTGAAGATTGAAGAGTGTGGAATTAATCTGTGGCAGTGTTAGTCTGGTCGCTGGGGGGTGAGAGGTTGGGTATATATAGGGGGCGTCTGTAGTGAACCAGTGACAGTGGGAAAGTAAACGGGCAAATCTCCGTTTTAGACTAGGAATGTTTAACATTAGGTTAGCCTTGCCTTCCAATATCTTTCTATTCGTTTAGATATACTTTTAAAATAATTGAAAACGTTTTTAGTGAAAATATTTTTAGATTCCAAAAGCATTTTAAGTGATTTCTGCAATAAACACTAATTATGTGCTTCTTTCAAGAAACACTTTAAGTAATTTTTCAGGATTCACTTGTATTTTTACTAAGGATTGATTCAAAAAATATTATCACCAAAAATACTTTCAGTTATTTTAAAAGCACATCCAAACTAGCCTTTAATAGTTTAATACAAAACATAGATCACGTTAATGTTTTTAAACTAAACTGCTTTAACAGAAGAAAATATAAAAAGAAAACAAAGAATATTGACATTCATATTTTGCTGTCCGATCAAGGAATGATTAAAATAACTTTTTATATATAGCGTCATTCAATAATTCACTCAGGACATTCGAAGATATATTTTTATCGGTTCACAATTTCCTTACTTTTGTAATCTTCTTTCCAATATGAGGTTTGGTTTTTCTCGTTTTTCTTTGTATTGATTCCATCTAGGTATTATTCTTCTCGATCACATCTTATTGGTCACTTCATTTGATTTTGAATCATTAAAACCTGTATTGCTATTTCTTATTTACAGAGGATAAACAACCCAAAATCCTAGCCATGCTCTTCTTTTTTTTCAACGTACATTCATTAATAAGAACATCATTCATCATGAATACAATTCAGTGATTACAAATGCAACAAAAAGACAATACAAATTTTACCCCATATAACCGTAAATCTAACCAAACGGAAGGATAACACTCATAAAGACAAAATCTTGCTTCACTTTCTTAATAACTTGCAAAAGACGACGCTCATTCGACAAATAAGTCATGCTACGAGACATCACGGAGATGTCTTCATAGTCCTTTGCCAAAAAAAACAACAAACAACGAAACCACAACCAAAACAAAATAAACTCTTCAAAGGTACGATTCCTCAATCATGGGATACCCGCACCTAACTAACAAGAAAGATAAGCTCGCAATGCCTAAACCCAATGAGCCGGCTGGACCTAACACCATCAAGACTCGCAAGGTAAACATCCTACCATCACCTGAAGAATTTGCAACGACAATAAAACATGATTGTGAATCCCTCAAACCACTGCAACAACCCCTCAAACGAAAGACCACACCACCCTTTGATGACAAGACTCGCAGGGTAAACATCCAACCATCACCTGAAGAATTTGCAACGACAATAAAACATGATTGTGAATCCCTCAAACCACTGCAACAACCCCTCAAACGAAAGACCACACCACCCTTTGATGATCTTCAAATAGTCAACAATCTTACTATGAGTCACCTCCAACAAACGTGAGCTTCTTCCCATAATCCTTGCCAAAAGCACAAACCACAAAATCACCACTTCAAATTTGAACAACAAATATCACTTTTAAAATCTGAAGTTGAGTAATAAGTTATTACCGCAACAAAAACTCTCATCCTCAACTATAAAAACTCTCCGCGACAAAACAAGCAAAAAATATGACTTTTCTCTTGGCGTCCGAGTATCACCTCCTCCCTTTTCCATTATGGTGCGTTTCCTTTCCCTATCTCGGTTTACTTTGTATTGATACCGTCTCCTGTATCAAGAGAAGAATACATTACTATCTAGTTATTAGTCTTCTCCATCACTTCTTCATCGTCACTTCAATCACATCTTAACCGTCACTAAATCGTTGAATTTTTTTTTTTTTTTTCAAAAACCTACCCACGATTTCACTCTCTAATATTGTTCTTGAATTTAAAGTTGAAGACATTATTTCAAGTTTCAACCACTTCCCGTAATTCAACCAACCCATGTCTACATTGTCCACGTAGAGATTTCCATCACCAGACTATGTACTATTTTAGAATGATAAATTAAATGGCAGTATTGCTATTTTTGTAGTGCTCAAGTGTCTTTTCTTGTTTATGGAATAGTCCTTACCAACAATGAAGATCAAAGTAACACTCAAACCGACATTGACAGCTATAACGAGTGCTTTTATAAGACGCACTTCTGTTTATATAAATTCCTTAAACCCAATTAAATTGCATTTTTTGTGTTTTCTTCAATTAACTTTACATTTTTATTTCAAATGTTATATGATAAATGGTTTTGATTTTTTCAAAAAGCTTTTTTTTAAACAAAACGATAGTATTTACACTAAGAGAAATGATGTGGGCTTAGTCTCACAATGAGCAGGCAAAATGTGGTTCAAATTCGCCTTTAGCGAAAATCAAACCTAAAACCTCTCGCTTACAAGTAAATAACGTTTTTAATCTTTCTAAAAGCACTAACAAACAAATATTAGTTATTTCAAACATGTAATAGGGAATTTAAGCGCCCCGATTTGTGGCTATTTTGCCTAGTTTTGGGGACCAGTGAAGGAGATCCAAATAAATGCCCTGGTAGAATAGCTCACCTTTCAGCCCATCACCAACCAACTAAAATATGCAAACGTGTATGTATTAACCAATAACCAAAGTCCACGACCATCATGTACGGTGCAAGCGCACCCTCTTACTTTGCTCCTCTCTCTAATGGCGTTGTGTCACCAATTTGTTTTCAAGTTTGTAACCAAGTGGTATTCAATACGTGAGGGGAACAAACGAAGACGGATATCCTATTTTTCGGGAACATATATCATCGGCGACGTCTCCAAACTAATCATAAATAACTGAGAGTCGTCCACCAACACGTAAACAACAAGATCTAGAATGCATGATTTACTAAAACATATATATGTATTGTACAGTATGAACACATAAGCTCTAGCTTGTACACTAGAAACAATGCGTCGATCAATGAGATTGATTGGCATGGTTTAACCCTGCAAGAAACGTTGGCGTAAAACTTTTGATTTTATTTTTTATGTTGCAGTATTCATTAATCATGCTTATCATTTAAAGACGTCAACATTTATTTATTGAAATAAGTCTGATGAGAGAACGTTATCTGTTTAAAATTGTTGGGACTTCACAACTAATTATTTGATGTGTTATAGATTAATGAGATGTATTAGAATTCGAAAAGCTTCGTATTTGCACGAAAGAATGTGATGGGGTGGTGGGAGTTTGATGGGGAAACATGGGACCCTTGATTTTTCAGGAATTATTTGCTGAATTCCGATAAGAAACGAAACCTTGTGAGCCCAGCAGAGCAGCATTCCCAAGAATTGGACATGTAAGTGGTGAAAGTTCTGAAACAAAGCATGTGAATTGCAGTCTGGAATCCGCTATAAAAATTCCTACCCCACTCTTTAAATTGCACGATGTTTATATATATAATATGTCAATATCTTAGGATTTGTTTGTAAATGTTTTTAAAATGATTAAAATCGTTTTTTGTGAAATTATTTTTGGATTCCAAAACCACATGAAATTCTTCTTACAAAAAACATATAATTGGTGTTTCTTGCAGAAAGCACTTCAAATATTTTTTCAAGATTCACTTATATTTTTACTAAAAATTGGTTCCAAAAACACTTTTAAAGAAATTGCTTTCATCATTTTAAAAACAATTTCAAACTAACATTTATTTATTTGATAAACACATTATGCGCTGTCAATTTCTGTAGGAAATTTCATCAAACTTGTCTTCACAAGTTTTGGTAAACACAAACTAACTAAAACTCGTGGGGATAAGAAGTATAGAGATGAAATGTAGAGAACCTGTGGGAAAGAAATTCTATATGTACTAAAACCCGTGGAGAAATCAATGTAGCTTAGTAACAGTGCATTTCCAGTTTTACACCCGCTTATTTCAACTTCGCCCCGTTTGCTTCCTTCTTCTATGCTCCTCCCCCCTCGTGTAATATGCCAAACCTTCATCTTCAACTCGACCTCCCCCTTCACAAACTCCCTCCGGTCCCTTTTCTCTATAAATTGTAATCACCGCCACCACCAGTTCGCTCAAACTTTGTCTATAAAGCCTCTTTAAATGCACAAGAATTGAGATTTTTGTATCATCAACAACAAAGACATGAAAGTTGTCGCAAGAAAGAAGATTACCTGACAAAGAGGAGGTTTTCTTGGATTCTCATCGTCTCTTGGGCCACCACTTCCACCTTCATTTCCAGGTGCCTTTTAGGACCTGATGTTGAACAGAAATGATGCCAACCGAAAGCATTGTAACTTTCCCATTCAACGTTGCCACGTTGAAGGCAATAACGACGAGAAATTTTTGAAGTCAAGCAAGAAATCAATGGCTTCTCCCGCATAAAAAGCATTTTTCTCACTCTCTTTTACAGTGGAAGAAGCTATTGATTTCTTTCTTGGCTTCGACAGTATCTTCAAAAATTTCTCCGCCGTTGTTGCCTTCAACATGGGGACGTTGAATGGGAAAGTTCCATTATCGAGGGGTGTTTTCTGTTCAATATTATGGGGTCCGCAAAAATGCACCCTGAAAATGAAGGTGTTGGTGGTGATCCAAGAGACGATGGAAATCCAAGAAACCTCCTCTTTTTTAGGTTATCTTTTTTCTTGCTATTATTTTCATGTCTTTTGCTGTTGATCATGCAAAAATCTCATTTTTCACGACTAAAGCTTGTAAGCACAAGGCCATATTAGATGACTTGTATGTCTGAGACTCTGAATTGCCGTTACTAAACTTGTGATTGCAAGAGAGAAAATTGTTTATTGGGCCGGCAATGCCGTGGAAAAAAACAAAACTTCATGAAAAAATATATTCTCCCATCACACTAATTATGTTTCTGAAATGAATGTGTGAAACAACTGTGATCTTTAGTCAATGCAATTCTTATCTTTTAAGTTTCAAGAATTTCTGTAAAGCTTAGTATTTGTGAAAATAATTCAAGTGTTTTTTTTTTTTGTGCAAAAAATTATTTTTTATTTAATTTTTTTTATTTGGTTTTCACCTGATAAAATCGTTTGACAGCACCAGGCTACCAGCTACATGCCAGGAGGCCCAGTTCAAAATCTGTGGCGTGTGAGTTGTTTGATAAAAGGTAGAGTGAAGATAGGACAATACTTGCGTTTCACGAAACAGTTGATCTAATTATTAAATATATTGTCACTTAGTACTACAGTATAATAGTATTTCTCTTCACTTGTAAGTAAGATGTATTAGGTTTGATTCTCACCAAAAACAAATTTGAACCTTTGGTGAATTTGAACTATATTATTGCTAGTCTCTTGTGAAGCTAACCTCACTCTTCTCTTCCTTAATGTAGATAATATTGTTTGTTGAAAAAAAAAAAAGGCTATTGAGCATATTGTATTCACAAATTGGGATTTCATGCTCAAATATTTGGGTACCAGTAATAGTCCATCTAAATGTCCTACAGTTCGAGGGAAACTTACATATGTATATCTTTTTTAAAAAGAGACTTGCAACGATAATTTGTAGGAAGAATACTTTTTAGGGAACTTTAACGAAAAGCATCTGGTACTGTTCATTTTAACGAAAAACCACATTTTTACACTAAAAAGTCAATCCTGGTACTATTCACTTTACTCTTTATTTTGTCCTTATCATTAAAACTCAAAGTTTTCAAACCCTTTTCATTAGTTTTCCTTACTTTCTAACGAGCGTTTGGAAATAACTTATATACAACATACGTATATCTTTTTAGAAGAGACTTGGCCACAAAAATATATGGGATTTTAGCTAAAATAGCCTTATTTGCAAAACACAATTCCAAAGAAGTCCATTTTGCAAAATAGAATCTGCAATGGGCACTAACTATTGGTTAATTGCATATCAGCCCAAATTTATTATTATGATATCATCATTATTCTGTCACACTGTTGTCATTAGCTCCAATTTGTCATAATATTAAAATAAAATTCAAAAAATGATCTTTATGTGGTTATTCTTGTTGTAGGCCTATTTGACTTAACTGTATTTAATACAGAGAGGGAGAAGGGTCGGCGACAACAGAGATAGAAGAGTGAGATGTAATTTTGAGGTATGTGTTGTATCATCCTATTGTGTCTTTATTTATAGTAGTAGGGAAGATTAAATCATTACCCTATTAGGATTACAACTCTAATAGGAATTTAACCACTAAAGAGAATATACAAAGATACTCCTAGATACACTAGGATTTACATAATCACATTCCTAATCCAATAGAACTGCAACACTCCCCCTTGAGAGTGTAAATACTCAAACAAAGCATCACATCAGATCTTAAGCAGATAAGGTAGAACAGTTGATGAAGTCGTCGGCACAACGGGTGAATGGGAGTCTCAAATTTAAAAGAAAGTATGCATGGGTAGTAAAACTCATAAACACTTTGCTCTAGTAAAACCTAAGGCAGGTGAAAACCCATAGACTAAGGAGAAAAGTGAGAAGTATGCATAATGTCTTAAAACAAACGTCAAATAGGATGAAAATAGTGAACTCAACGGAGTATGATCATCACAGGATGAGTGCCTCGTTTAAACCTCTTTAGGTAGCAAAACCCCAGTGGGAAAAATGTTCCTAATCATAAGAAAAATAGTATATTAAGATCAAGTGAGTATGCTTCAAGATACTCCTCTTGAGTTATACATAACTTCCAAATAAGAGAAAGTAATTCAACTCAGATAATTTACGCATACCGATTCCTTGGACGAGCTTCTGAAAAGTAGACTTAAACAATGACTTGGTGAAGAGATCGGCCAAGTTGTCTTGGGAACGGATTTGCTTGACTTCAATGTTTTGATGATATTGTTGCTGGTGAGAATAAAATAACTTCGGCGTTATGTGTTTGGTGTTGTCTCCCTTAATGTAACCATTCTTTAACTGCTCGATACATGTTGCATTGTCTTTAAACATCATCGTAGGAAGGTCAATGACAGAAGTAAGACCACTAGTGCTTCGAAAATGTTCCATGACTGCTTTCAACCAAAAGCACTCAAACAATGCTTCATGCAAGGTGAGAATCTTAGCATGGTTCGAAAAAGTCGCAACTACCGTTTGCTTGATAGACCTACAAGATATAGCGGTGTCTCCAATGGTAAATACATAACCTGTTTGAGAATGTGCCCTATATGGGTCAGACAGAGAACCAACATCTGTGTAACCAACGAGGTGAGAATAAACTCAAGTGACAGAGGGGGGCGGTGGCTTCTCTCAAGGATTCATGGGTGTAGAACAAGCCCAAATCAATCATACCCTTAAGGTAGCGAAACATATCTTTAACACCATTCCAGTGTCTGCGTGTAGGCGTATTGCTGTATCTAGCCAAAAGATTAATGGTGAGATATAGGTCTAGTGCATTGAGCCAAGTACAATAAAGCACCAATTGCACTTAGGTATGGAACTTTAGGCTCCAAAATCTCTTCTTCATCCTCCTTTGGACTGAAGGGATCTCATTTAGCATCTAGAGTCCGAACGACCATATGAGTACTCGAAAGCTTCGCTTTATCCTCATTAAAACGTCGCAACACCTTTTGGGTGTAGTTCGATTAATGTACTAAGATTTCATTCGAACAATGCTCGATCTCTAGGCCGTTTTCCCAAGATCTTTCATCTCAAATTCCAATTTCAAGTGAACGACGATTTCCTCAAGCTCTGCGGGAGTTCCAATGAAGTTCATGTCGTCGACATAAACTACAACGATTGCAAATCTAGAATGTGACTTCTTTATGAACACACATGGGCATAATTCATTGTTCACATAACCCTAACTTGTCAAATATTCACTTAGATAGTTATACCATATCCACTTAAATTGTTTCAATCCGTAGAGTGATCTCTTCAATCTAATCGAGAAAGTGTTCCGTGGTCTAAAACTATTTGAACCAGTCAATGGAAGTCCTCCTATAACTTTTATGTACATTTTTGTATCTAGATCCCCATAGAGATACGCAGTTACCACGTCCATAAGCTGCATATTCAGTTTTTCAAAAACTACCAAACTAATAAGATTGCAAAACGTTATGATGTCTATTACAGGGGAATACGTCTCCTCGCAATCGATCCCAGGGTGCTGAGAGAAGCCTTGCGCTACGAGGCGTGCTTTGTATCACATTATTTCATTTTTTCTCATTACGCTTGCTCACGAAAACCTACTTGTAGCTCACGGGCTTCACATGTGGGGGAGTAGGAGCTACAGGCCCAAACACCTTACATTTCGCAAGCGAATTAAGTTCGACCTGGATTAATTATTTCCAGTTTGACCAATTTGTTCTATGTCGACATTCATCAACGGAACGTGGTTCAATGTCATCGCTAAGCATGATGTCGGAAGTAACGGTATATGCGAATACATCATCGACAATCATCTCATTCTGATTCCAAACCTCATCCAATACTGCGTAATGGACCGAAATCTCATGATTCTTGGGAGGCCGGTATGTTTCATCTAAGACATCGCCGTAATCTAAAATAACCACATGCGTTGGAACAGATGAGTAAACAATGGTTGGATTCATACTATGGTCACTAGTTTGTGCCATTTTCCTCTTCTGAGGTTGTGAATCATTTGAACTAGGGGGGCCTATCACGCTTCAGGGTAGAAATAGGTGATTGGTTAGCTGCCAGTGTACCGAGCCACGTGGGAGGTGCGGCCACCCCACCCTCGGGGACAGTCCGGTTCCAAGGCAGTGTTACGGTGTACGTTAAGTACGTCCATCTTTGCAAGTGTGTTTGCAATTGGTATATGTGATCTCATCACCTTTGCTAGATCAGTAAAAGCATCTGGCATACTTTAAGTGATGCTCTGAAGATCTATAATACATCGCACTTCAATTTCAGACTGAGGGGTATGGGGATCTAAATGAGACATAGTGGAAGTAATCCACGATAATTCGTGGCGTTCTACATGAACGTTAATGATCTTATCTCCCCCCAATGACGGTAAGATTGTCTCATCAAAGTGACAATCCGCAAAACGTGCTATAAAGAGATCTTGTATCAATGGCTCTAAGTAGCGAGTAATTGATGTCAAATCATAACCAACACAGTCTCCTATTTTTCTCTAAGGACTCATTTTAGTACTTAGTGGAGGCACTATTGGCACATAAACGGTGCGCGCAAACACACGTAAATGCAAGATGTCATGCTCGTATCCAGTAACCAACTATAACGGTGAATAAGGTTGGGTAGCGGTGGGCCTCAGGTGGACCAACATAGCTGCGTGCAATATTGCATAGCCCCAGCATATATTAACAAAGTTTTTCGCATAACCAAAGTCTGAGCTATCGTTTGAAGGCACTTTATGAAAGCTTCTGCAGGTCGTTTTGGGTGTGAACATGGGGTACATGATGTTCAACTTCATTCCCAACAGACATGCAATAATCGTCAAAAGTCTGTGATGTAAACTCTCAAACATTATCCAGTCGAATCGACTGGATCGGATAATCAAGGTGGTGAGCCCTAAGCTTAATAATTTGTGCTAAGAGTTTCGCAAATGCAGCATTGCGTGTGGACAATAAGTAGACATGTGACCATCGCGTCCATACATCAACCAACACCATGAAGTATCTAAATGGTTCGCATGTTAGTTGGATAGGTCCATAAATATCCCCTTGAATCCGCTGAATAAACTTAGGGGGGTCGTGAATAATCTTTGTAAGTGAGGGTTGAATGTTCAACTTCCCCAAGGAGCATGCTTTGCAAAGCAGATGGCCGGGATAAGATTTTAAGTAACACCCATGTGATACTTTGAGGATACGACGCATCATATCGCGTTCGGGGTGTCCCATTCGACCACGCCAAAGCAGGAGAGTGTTTTGGAACTTGGCCATAAGGGCGGCCAAGTGATGAGTCTCAATGGCGCAAATGGTTGTTATGTACAACCCACTCGGGAGACGTTCCAGCTTCTTGTGAATACTCTTCTGGCCATATTTGTAAGAAGTGATACTAAGAAATTCGGAACCATTCTCTTATGTGGTTTCAACATGATATTGATTATCTCGAATATCTCTAAAACTCAGCAGCGTTCTTCTGGAACGTGGAGAATATAGTGCCTTTTTAATGGTTAATTCAGTATAATTGGACAACATAATATTGGCCTTTCTGTATCCTTCTATTAGGTTGGATAGGCCTGAGAGGTGTCATATGTGCATTTTTAGGTACGAAGTTAGTAAAATAGTGTTTATCATGTAATATGGTGTGTGTGGTGGCACTATCAGCCAAAATTAACTTTCCCACTAGTTATGCCTAATCGAATCGATCATATGCATAATTCCATTCATTCAATTAATCAATTTGAGAAATAATATCCATAAAGTAATTATCCATAATTCAAAACAAACCAAAACCAAACAAATAATTCCAAAGACTTAGAAATTGTCCGAAAATTAAACCATAAACCTAAAATTTAAGGGGGGGTTCGACCATTCTAGTGGGTTCGGCCACTAGGGGTGTAAAACGCCCTAACATGTCTTAGAAAAATAAAACTTTATTCTTTTATGAGAGTGGATGCCTCCTGAAAATCTAAAATCTTTAGAGTTGTAGTAATATCTTCGGCATGTTCTAGAAGTGCAAAGTTAGACTCACGACGGGAATGATACTTGGCAACAGCCTCGGGGGTAGCTCGGCATACGTGTGACCAATAATCCTTTGATCCATAGCGATAACACATGTCTAGTTCAGTGGAAGCTGATTGAATGGTAGCTTTGCCCCTTGTTCTTGAAGTTTAGGACCTTAAGGGCAAGGGGTTGGCGTTTCTGGGTTAAATTTTCTCCCATGGGTGGGCTTCTGTTTTGTTGACCTTGGGCCTGTGGTGGGGCTTGCCGTCCATTTCCACGGCCATGACCGGATTTCCATCGATTGTGGTTGCTAGAATGAGTCGCATGCACTTCAAGTGGATCGTTCGACCTAATGGGTTGAGCTTGATGATTCTTCATCAAAAGTTGGTTTTGCTTTTCAGCGAGAAGTAAAACAGATATCAAATCCAAAAATTTGGTGAACTTATGTGCTCTATATTGTTGCTACAGGACAATATTGGTGGCATTGAAGGTCGAATAAGTCTTATCTAGGAGATCTTGCTTGGTTAAGTCTTCTTTATAGAACTTAAGCATTGATCGGATTCTACAAACTTCAGAGTTATATTCATTCACATACTTAAAGTCTTGAAGCGTAAATGCTGCCAGTCATGTCTTGCTTCAGGTAAGTAAATGTCTTTCTAGTGGTCGAAGCGATCGACTAAAACAAGAGGGTACGTGGATACTCTTCTGCGAGGTACTTGGTCTACAGTGCATCATAGATGTGTCTGCGGATGAAGATCATAGCAATAGCTTTCTGAGTTTCGTAGACAGGTTCATCGTCGGTAGGTTCCTCGATGGTAGCTCTAAGACTCTTTGCAATAAGATGGAGTTTCACGTCTTGAATCCACTTCAGATAGTTTATTCCAGCGACTTCCAGAGCGGTGAAATCGAGCCTGTTTAAGTTCAATATGTCCCTAAAACATATGGTATAATGAAATGTGGTTAGTCATATGGAAAGCCATAGACATATATTGTAGAACATTCGGGTTCTATAGACATGTATTGGTTTAATTTAAGCATGAAAGCTACGGGTTTCATGTGGTAAGTTTAGAATGAAAATTTCGGGTTTCAAAGACACAAAATTTGAAACTACAGGTTCGATTTAGTTATGAACGTTTAGTTCATATATAGGGGTACTTGTAAGAACACATAATACAATATACAATAAAATGTGGTGAATTTGTGGATTGCTTCAGGAACCCAAGTGTGAGTGCTTCGGGACTATGAAAGATAGTCAATGATTCAAAGAAACAAAATAATTTATTGAATCGTTAATTGCCAAAAAGTGAACTTCAAGCCAATAATTTTGGATTAATTGTCAGATTAATGGACTGCTGGTCACTTTAATTAATTCAATAGATCGTAACCATTCATGTTTGATTGTAGAAGCAAAAATAATAATAACATTTAAGTTAAAATTATAGAGAATGCCAAAAATAACATTGGATTCGAAAAACCATAGCCCAATATCGGTGGGCTTGGGTGTCGTGTGCATGGCAAAGCCTTAAAAGGGCTTAATGGGCCACGAGTGTCACATCCCGGCCCGGGGTCCATTACATCCCGGGCTCGCTCCACCACCGTAGCACGATATTGTCCGCTTTGGGCCCCGACCACGCCATCAGGTTTTGTTTCTAGGAGCTCACGAGCAACTTCACCAATCCTTTCAGTGATCTCATAAGGTCCTAAAAACCAAGTAGTGGTCTCAACCCATCTATTAGCAAGAAGATTCCCTTGACTAGCCAGGTTTCGATCCTGGGACCTGTGGGTTATGTGCCCACCACGCTTCCGCTACGCCACTCTGATACCAAACTGACACACCCCGATCCTAGAATCAAGGCGTGCTGGCCGTCACATGAGTGTAACGTAACCAAAAGTGTGACGTGACGTAGAAGCAATAGGTAAGAGAATTACGAAGAAATAAAAACCAAATACTAGCAGTAATATCCAACTAGCATGCTAGAGTGAATTTAAGTGTGAAACACACATATTCAGAGCGTAAGTACTAGGTGCAGTCAAGTAAGACCATAACTAAATTATAACACCCGAAGGTGAGTCCTACATTTATGTAGTCTGTCAGTACGCCGTGGAAATCCTCGTGGGCCACCAACGCTGCTAACTAGAACCTGGAGGGGCGCAAAACAAAATTGAGTAGGTCAGTAAAACAAAGTTTTTTGAAAACATTTCAATTAATAACATTTCTAACCCCTCGCTGTAAAACCTGTATACTTTCCCAGAAAATAACATAATATACATATAAATCTTTATATATATCTCAAATCACCAATCTATATCAAAAACCAAAAAGTATGCCATGTTAAACGTCAATAACAGAATAAGGATGCATCAATATAACAGGTGAAGTAATGAATCAACCGGAAACCCTGCAGTTGGTCATGTACGGTTAATTCTAAAGCTCAATATCCCATCCAACCGGAGTCACCGCAGTGACCTGTACGGCGCTACTCTGCACATAAATCGGAACTACCTGAAGTAGTCTGTACGATAAGAAGGTGTAAGAATACGCTCTAGTGCTTCTCTCATCAACAGCTGTATAATAATCTAAAATCACCTACAGTCGGAACCACTCTATGGTCTGTACGACATGTCAGAACCCTCTAATGGTCTGTACGACATGCACTTACTTGGATCCAAGGTGAGCGTGCGGTGCGAGGTGAATAATATAAGCACTAACACCAAGGGTGCAGGTTATGAGCTTTCAACACAATTCACATCATCAATAAATCATATGAACAATATAAACTCACCTGATACTCACCTGTGACGGCCAGCACGCCTTGATTCTAGGATCGGGGTGTGTCAACGAGTTATTGCGGGACAGCCCAATCATGGTTGCAGGCCATGTGCCGTTTCTAGGTAAGCCCAACCGCAAAGGTTGGCTTGTTGTGGTCTCAGGCTAAAGTGCTAGCAAGCCTCGCATTCGCTGGCTTGGGTTGAGGCGCTAAAAAGCCCAACCGAAGCTGACTTGGTGGTTAGGCCTTGACATGGTGAGCCCTACAGCCAAGAAAGTTGCTGCTTTCGGGCCGGGGCAAAGGGACGAGCGTAGCAAGCTTCAAGCATGCTAGTGATGGGCCTAGGGCTCATGGACAAACCCAGTAGAGCTTCGGGCTGTGCTGAAGTGGGCTAGGGCTGCAGGCCTAACTTAGAAACCCAAGCATGCATTCGGCTTGGCTCTCCAATGCGTGCAACAAAGCCTAAAAGGCTGCTACAAAGGTCCATGACGTCAAACGACGTCGTCGCAAGGCGGTGGCGTGGCTGCAAGTCAACCAACTCAGCTCGATGCCCGCGGCAGCATGGCATGAAGCCATGGCTCGACCGCAAAAAAATCCCAAATTTTTTTTTTCAATTGCTAGGGTTAAAGACCCTAATTGCTTCTAAAATAATTTCGATACTTTGACTCACAAATTCCACATAGCATAATTACGTATTGCATGAACAAGTATATATATTGACAAAATATATGAACACATATACAATATATATAATTGTAAATAAAATATAAATATATAGGGTCCATGCATCATGAGAAATGTTTTCATGCTTCAAGGTTTTTTCAAATGTCTTAATTTATTTTAAAAGAACCTGATTGGCAAAAAATGTAGAAGAAACCCTCATCCACGATCCTTCAGTTCCTTAGATTCTGGCAAGAGCGTGTCGATAACGTTTTGTAAGCCTATTTGATTGAACTGTATTTAGGAGAGAGAGGGAAAAGGGCTGGCGGCAACAGAGAGAAAGAGAAGAGAGAGATGTAATTCTGACGTATGTATTGTATCACCCATTGTGCTTTTATTTATAGTAATAAGAAAGGTTAAATCCTTACCCTATTAGGATTACAACTCTAATAGGAATTTAACTACTAAAGAGAATGTACAAAGATACTACTATATACACTAGGATTTACACAATCACATTCATAATTCAATAGCACTACAACAATTATATCATCATTATCTCATTCTTAAGGCTTCAAATAGATCATTAATTTGTCATTTTATCGTCATTAACTCCAACTTGTCATGATATTCCAAAATTTCTAAAATTCACCCACATTCCACAACCTCCTCCCACAACTTTTCAAGTTGGTGTGGGGCTTTAAAATAGCAGAAGTTGAGCTTGGATTCAATCATTCAAGGCCACCATCCGCAAACCTCCTTCTCTTTGTAGAAATCGAATTGATCCGATCGATTGATTCATCACTCTTCTCTATCTCGGATCCAGTCCTTCCGAGCATCACCATTTTGATGGGTTGAGATGATGGGAATGAAGATGAGGTGTAGAGGTAACGGAGGAGGAGTCTCCGGAGTTACAGAGGCGATAAATGCCGCATTTAAAGAGAGAAACAGAGAGAAAGGTGTTTTTTGTTTTTTTAATTTCTGGAATGAGGAATGAAATGGGTTAATGTGCAATTAATCGATAGTTAGTGGCCACTGCAGATTATGTTTTACAAAATAAACTTTTTTAGAATTGTGTTTTGTAAAGGAAATTTTATTTGAACTCAAATAGCTTCTTTTTATATCTAGTTTACTCTTTACACTTATATTATTTTTAATTAAATTAACAGTATATATTTGAACTTAAATTTACTACCTAAATTAATTTCACAACCCCAATTTAATATGTAAATTTATCTCTACACCAATTGAAAAATTAAAAACCAAAATCAAAGCATTCTTTCCTCTGACGCTCTCTCTTATCAACAGTTGCTTTTGATGGAGTCTCCATTAACCTCTACAGTGTTGCTCTCGATAAATCTCATATTGATTTGTCTAACCATGTCAAACAAGCCGTTCCTTCTAAACTACCCTCTTGCATTTATTTATTTTGGCTTCTCCAGCACACTCGCTGGTGTGCATGTATTTGAACCTAGAAGCAGGCAAAGGAAGATGGAAGAAAAGCTAGTTGAGAGCAACTCCATTTGCTGATAAAATTTCTTGTTTATTTGTACCTAGTGCTGTCATTTTTGGTGTAAAAGAAAGAAGCATGAACATAAACATAAAAATTGTATTACTAATAAATTTTTTAATAACATGATTTGCAATGAGTGTTCATTTTTTGTTGGGGTTTAATTACCGGGTGTGAGTTTTTATTGATAGATTTTATTTTTATTGTTAATTTTATGTTATATCTGATGGTAATTATACAATAGGGTAATTATGCAAAGCATGCTTTCCTATGTACCTTTGTTGCAGACAAGTTCTCGTGTCCGCGGTCATTAAGAATGACGCTTCCCAACGTAACATATGGCTGCAATTGGCTGTGGTTTTGGTGGGAAACACAAAACAACCATAGCAACTGGACACCTCCTGCCTGGAACCCACCATGCAAATAATCGACACAGAACAGACATTTGCTCCCCCAAAACAAGAAGATAATCTTGCTTGCAACCGAATATATACATCGCTTTAACATAAGAGGCAATGTATTTCATTGACACGCCATTTTCTCTCCACATGGTAGGCAAGTTGAGACCATGATTGCTTACTGTAACATTCATTACGTGATTTACAACAAGCACATATGGGCAAAAATATGTAGACGCAGGCCTTTAGCCTATCGAATTTTTCCGCATTTTTTCTATTTATCCTTATAGTTTATCCTAAATCTCTTTTATGCACCGATCGATCTTACTCGTAAGTAAAAACTTGCATCATCCTATCCCAATCTACATTGAAAAGTTGGTTACATGGTTGCAATCAGTATTGTCTATCATTCGTAACACATCCATAATATAACAACTACCCCCACATTAGTCTTAATAATTAATTAATTAGATGCTATCTTCTCTTACAATTCATTGGGATCGTTGATAAGGGCTGAAACTTGACACGGATAAAGCCAACTTTCTTGTGGTTGAGAATCGAAGGTTGTTAATGTAAGACATATTCTGAAATCACAACAAGAAGATATTAGGATCACGAATAAATCAAATCAATATGAAATAGAGATTGACTAATTATATTGAACTTATCTGTAGAATTCGGAAGACATGGTTATGAAGATGAAGTCATTGATGAACTCTAGGTTGTCTTTTCCTTCCAATACTTCAATAATATCTCTCTGCTATATGAATAAGGTTTAGCGTATCTGAGAGATTAAGCGTATGGAAGTAGGGACTTAACAATAGTATTTATATTATTAGGGTTTAATCACAACCAGCTTATTGGTTGTGAAAGTCAAACCCTATCACTTAAGTGTTTAAGTCCCATCATGATACTATTGTAGACATCGAAATTTCGGTAAATAAATGTTGACCGATAAATTAAAGTTTCAACGCTCATGTATTACATAAATTTTACACGTAGCGTGTGACTCAACGAAAATTGAAATGAGTTGGAAAAGTCATCAAATAGGACACGTGTCAACACCTGGCAGAAACGACTTATTTCATCTGGGATATTATATTCAAAATTAGGCCTTGGAAAATTCTATAAATACAAGCCAATTTCATTCATTTGGAGGAAACCAATTCATATTACACCTTGAAGCTCTGAAACTCCGAAGCTCTCAAGCATCCAGGTTCCCGAAGAATCAAGAAAGCCTTCTTCGTTCTTCGTTCATCGTTCTTCCAAGATCAAGCCCCGACGGCTCTTGAAGAAAGTGTTCTTCGTTCATCGTTCATCCAAGATCAAGCCCCAACGGCCCTTTGGATCAACGAACGTCGACAAATCCATACATCCAACCGTTCTTCAAGATCAAGCCCAAAAGCCCTTGAAGACCCGTTCATCACTGTTCTTCAAGATCAAGCCCAAAAGCCCTTGGAGATCCGTTCATCACTGTTCTTCAAAGATCAAGCCCAAAAGCCCCTTTGAAGATCCGCTCAAAGCCACCTTCAAGATCAAGTCCACGGCCCTTGAAGAACGTTCATCCTTAGATCAAGCCCAACGGCCCTTTGGATCAATCACACATCCACAAATACACACCTTACGGAGATCGAATCAGAGGATCAAAATAGAGAGAGATTGTAACCCAAAATCATCAAATACAAATATTTGTTTGTGCACGTTGTTCTTGTCTCTTTCGTTTCAGGAATTTTCTGTGTTCACAACTATATCTTTGTAGTGAAATCCATCAAATTTCTTTAGGTCAATTGCAAAGGATAAGACTCCATAATCCTTATTTCATGAGGACTATCAAATTACTTAAGTTGTTAACAACTCAATAAACAAGTGGCCTACAATAAGTAATCCAATACATCATTCATTGTCATTCTGTTTGGACCCATTTTTACAATAGCGGTCCGAGCAATCAAGGCCGTCGGATGAGCAAGGTTTTAAGCCATTGAACGACAAAGTGGTTGAAATAAATTATGATTAAGATAATGTTGGGATTTTAATCATAATTTATTAAACCTAGTTTTTATCTAAAACCCCAATTTGTTCGTAGGATGGTGGGGCATCAGGCCATTTTATAAAGAATCATAATGCATTACTGCATTATTGGTGAATGTTTATGGATTGGTATAGATTTTTGCGCATGCATGAAGATAAGGATGCCAATTTGGATTTAATCAGCCGCATGCTTGGCGTTGGTCAGTCGTACATGCATATTATTGGCATATTTCAAGACGGGAAGTTTATCGGCAGAAAGGGATATGATCCTTGGCTAAGGGATATGAGATATAATTTACAACCAGATGCAACTCCACAAGATAGAATCCAATTAGGACTCTCCAAGAGTATCAAGTTGTGCCAAGCGGAGGGGTGTAACATTCACTATAAGTAGAGAGGGTTGCGCACCATTCAAAGGCCTGACAATTCAACACAAAACTGCCCGCAAGCTTTCTCAACAACTTTGAGATTTTTTCTTTTCCTTTCTCGCTGACACATCTTCCGTTGGCATCAACAGCACTGTGAAAGCAACCGGTGATATCTTAAGTCGTCATAGATAGCTCTGTCATCGTAGAATCAGTCGGTCTCGCAGTATCTTCCGTTGGCATCAACAGCACTGCGGCGAGGACGGTTGGTTACCTATCCAAGTCTCAGTCGAGAAGGATTTCCGGATCCTGATTGATTGAGGTCATCTTATTAGCCTCCTCGGCGAAGTGAGGTGTTACAGTATATCGAGCTTGGCACATTGCACGCCGAGTTATTTTATGATTGGATATTCCCAAGTGGGATTTAGAGTTCGGCATTCGAACGGTCGAACCACGTTCACCATTAAAACTTATATTCGCTTTGAGTATTTGTGCCCTTACACTTTGGTGTCGATTTGGCGTGAGTTTACTCTGACGAATAACATCACTGTGACTGAATCCGACGACGACTCGTGAACTTCGTAAGAATAGTAACCTTGTCTTCAGGTTCGAGCACCCAAGAGGCCGAGACGCGTTCCTTCCTCGGTCGCAATCGCAAGACGCAGGAGTCAGCCGCGCACCCAACGCAACATCAACAAATTTAGTCCTCGGCCGAGCTCGGCCGACGAGTTGGCACGCCCGTATTCACCGAAGGACGTAGTTAGCTTATAGATTATTCGGCATGCGCGCCACGTAGGCTTGGTAGTTTCTAGGGTCAACACATTCACAACCTTACATTCTCCCACTTGAATGTCAATGATTTATCCTAACAAATAAGAACTCATGGTGATCACTGAGTCTTCATAAGTGTGCAACAACATTTCCTAGCAACCTGTCACTTTGAATCGAATGCAAAACCAAAGAAAACAAAGAACAACTTGGTATGTTCCTTGCACTCCAAGATCACATACACATTCAACTTAAAGCACTGTGTTGCTAACAAAGTCATGGTGTCAAGAGCTAATAGTCAAAACATTAGCTCACAATAGTCGAACTGAAAATATGAAAATATATTTCAGTACAAAAATAGTTCACAAAAGAACTCAACAATGTTGGTAACAACATCCAACTTTTCTGTCAATTTAGAATATGATAAGAGAACAAGTAAAATACAACATACTATTTACAAAATCAGGATCTCTTATTAAAACTTATGAACAAAACTTAAACAAAAACTCTTAAAATATCAGCCTCTAACGCTTCAAAATTTTAACACAAAAGATAATCTCTTACTCCCACTGATTAAAAAAGACAAAATTATATAAATTATTATTACTCCCATTGATTAAGAGAGTAAAAAATTCTTTGTAAAGGTCTACAGAATGAAACAGATACCTTTCAAATACCCCCATTAGCAAAACATTAGTCATGGGATCTAAAACATAAAATTTAAAAGAGCTCAACATCTTTATTCTAGATATCTGTAGGGAAGTGATTCTTGTGACTGAAAAACTATACAAAATCATTTGGTCAGTTTTGTTCATCTAACATTTGACAAAAATAGAAAACTTTAACTAAATATTTTCTTACTGCATCAAAAACATATAATTCTAGAATCACCTTTAGACATAAACTAATTATATTAGGTTTGCATAGCTAAAACATAAAATACAAGGGCAAACGTATAGCTTCAACACTTTTGAGCTGATGAAGTATATGCAATCTTGTCAATTTCATGTTTCACTATGCATTGATTTATAGTTGTATTGAATAAGAAAACACTTTTGAGCAGATTAATTATTCATCAATAACATATAAATCACAAGTCCAATTTCTTGAACAACAAACAAGAATTAATAAACAAAACACTTTTGAGCAGAATATACTCATTGACCATTAAAAGCATTATTATAACCAAAACTTGATGATGTGAGAAGCCCATAATATATTATTTCTCCCACTTGGGCAAACACTCAAAATTGCAAGATTAAACACTAGAGAAAGTGGTTTTCATATAACAAAATATAGGCTAGTTGAATCAATAAAGATAGTGTACACAATCCATTATATAATATAACATGGCAAATTTGTACAAAGTTTGGAGTTAGAAAAATCTATCAAAATTGTAATCAAATAGGACATGTTGCAAGGTATGCAAAACTCCATCAGTATTTCCCAAGCTCCACTAAAATTTTAGATTTAATCATAATTTAAATAAAACCAATTTACAATCTTTAATATGCTCAAAACACGAAAATTTCTTAAATAAATTTGCTGAGTCACAAAATAGTGATTTGGACATAATAAACCAATCTATATGTATCAAAATTAGGATTATATAAGGAACAATATCTCAACATCATTAATCGATAAAAGTGACAAGTGATTAGATAAACCAATGGCTACAAAATTTATTTTAGTGTATGAGAGAAAACACATATGTGTTAAAGATTATGTCATAAATTAAAATGAAACCTAATAAGGGAATCCAAACTTAAAATCTATGTTTTAATTCTAAAACAAAGTCGATTAAAGTAAACGCATAGATATATCAACAACATCAAATTTTCAACAATAATTTTAATCCAATTTAGAACTCACAGAAAATTAAGGAAAAAGATTGGCAAATTTACCTACTTATTCTCGATTCTGAAAGATTCATCATGGAAGTAGTCGATGTCACAGCCCGTCCCGGAATTTTAATTCCGAGGACATGAAAAGACGAAAATGCCCTTAAACGGGACTAAGGGGCGAAAATTTAACAATTTGGATTGAGTTGGACACGTGGGATCCCCACACCCCTCAATCCTCTCCCTATTTTCTGCATACTGTCTCTCTCTCTCCTCCCTCACGAATCTCTCT